CCCAACGGCCGCTCCCCGCGCCCAGGAGGAGGAGCTCGGGCTGGGGCTGCCAGGTGGGGGGGTCCCCAGCGCTGCAATTGGCCTTGGCCTTGGCCCCCAGGGGAATGGCCCCTTGTCCTCACTGGGTGTCAAGCCGGCGGGACGCGGTGTCAGGCCCCCGTGGCCATGCGCCCACCCGCCCACGTGGCGCCCCGACTTGGGGAAATGTGGAAATGCGCCTTCATCGCGCCCACCCGGGGCTGCCATATTGGCTCAGCACTGCGAAGGCGGAGAGCTCCCCAAGCGGGGATCAAACATGCTGCCCCGGCGGTGTTTTCTTTTAAAAGAAGCCGCCCCGAGGAAACCGAACCGCCAAGGAAGGGCGATCGCGGCGTCCGGGAGTGGTTACTGCTGCGCTCGTCTGCGCCGGTTGCGGGTTTTGGTTTGCTGGCGGGGTTCGCAGGCTGGTTGCCGCAAGGCGCCAGGAGAATAGCTGCTTGGAAACATCCCCCGAGTCTCGCTGCTGTCTCCCCGTGGGCTGAGTCGAGAGCAGGATCTGTACGAGAGGCGTGTGTATTTATTCACTGTCCCTCGAGACAGCTGTGTCTAATTGCAATAGTGTGACCAGCAGTTTTTGCGTATTTGGCACAGCCAAGGCCCTTACTATGCTCTGTAATTACAAAACAAACGAGTAATTGTCACTTGCATTTCCTAGTGTCTGTCACTTACTAGTTTCTGTACCTAGTTGGTGTTCCTGATTCATGGGAGTGTAGAGGCCTGTTAAATTTCAAGACATCTTTTTTAATGAAGGATATCATACTTTATATCTTATCTCGGACGGAAGTTCTTCAGGCCAAGAGCAAGCGTGTTTTCTTTCTCAGATTTACTTGCTGTGTCAAGTAGAGTGAGGTTTTGATGTGACTTCCCAGTTTCTTTTACTGCAAGTAGGATGGGAAAACGTGCTAGATGTAAGCTGTGACACTAATCCCCTCAAGTATTTGCAGGTATAAGCAGGTTGTTCAATATTTCCTGGGCCAGTGCGTGTTTTAGGAACAGAGGGCTAGAAGAAACTTCCTGGGTCATCAAATCCAGTGCATTGCTTGAATAGGCAAGGGTGTAATGTAATTCCTTTTGTGAAGTTACTGCCTTGTCCTAATACCAGTTAGGTTTCTTTCCCCCACCACTTCTCTTCAAGTATCTTAAAACCTTTGTTGTATTTTAGGTCTTGAGGAACTCTTTTTCTTCAACTTATTTCAAAATCGTGGTCGGTTGGAGTCGACTTGAGCAGAGACTTGAGGGTGCACGCTCCTTTTTGTCCAGAGGCTGCGTGCTGCTTCCAGTCGGTGTGGGGAGCACAGGAGTAGCCTTAGGTATGTGGAAACCGTTCGTCGCAATCACTCAGTAATGCGTTAGTCTGTTTCCCTCTCTCCCCCCTGTAGATCTGGGGCTGGAAGTTGGAGAAACTTGCTGTCTCATCTTGATTTTGTTTTCCAAGGGTGGGGAGAAAAGCAAATATCTGTGGAAACTTTCGGTTTAGTCCTGACATGTTTGACTGAGGCTGTTGGGCTAGTTAATGTGTTTTATTTACCCAGTAGTTGATGCTCAGCATATCACGATTTAATGTAGTAGAGGAAATTGCTGAAGTTAAAATGCTTTGGTAGGCAAAATGAGCATCTATGCATGTGCTCTGGGGTGGAGGAGGGGACGCTTCAATTAGAACAGCTCCAAGAGCTACTCTCATTAAAGCACCTTCAGCATCATGTGTATTCAGCATCCTGCGCTTCAAAGTGGTGGTGGGGGCACTTGAACTAAAGCTATTTTGGAGTGTGGGGATGCTGAATAGATGTCGCAGAGGCTTCTGGAGTGTGTTAATTAATACACTCCAGCAAAATTAAGCCTGCTAACTAGCACGTGTCACAGCAGACATCTGGCACGTGTGTAGTTGCCCACTAGTAGTAATTGTGCATAGCAGTAAAATCTTTACATATTTGCAAAATCTCTCCATGTTAATATGCTGATGAACAAGAGAGAGGCTTGCAAATTAATTTTGAGGCATCAGGAAAGTTTTATATTTCTGTTTGGTTTAAATGGTATGTTATTGTCCTTGCTATAATGTCTGATTTTTTTTTTTCTCTTTAGATTCTTGATATTTAGTGACTGATAGTCTGTTACGGTTAGTAGATAGTCTGATAGTCTGTTGTGGTTATTTTTCAAAATGTTACTATTCAAAATAGGGAAATCTTGCAGTAATTAAACTGCTAGGCAATTTATTTCCAGTTAGAGCAGGTGTTGGGAACAACTGATTCAGAAGACATAGATGAGGTATAATGCAAGTTAATTTAAGTGTAATGTAAATAAAAACTCAAATTGGCCTACTTCTGTTTGTGATATACAGTTCTGTATAGGATATGGATGTCTAGGTGTGTAGAGCAGTTCAATTAGTGATATCCAGCTCTTTTAGAGGCTGCATAACATTCACTTGTGGCTCTAGCATAGACACCAAGATAATTGCGTAACAGTTGCGCTACACCAAAAGGTTGTCAGTTTTCAAAAACGAAGGAACACCCAAGAATCTTTCCCATACTTAAAAGGCACTGTGAATGCTGTGGTTGAGATTTCCTTTGTAAAAAGGACATTGTGCCCATTAGTCAGGTTCTCTGCAAATTGAAATACGTATACTTATCTCTTTTGAATTAAAGGGCACCTGTTCCATGAAGAGTTTGCTGCTGACTGTATGTTTATCTGCAGAGATAGTTCATGGTTTGGCAGCACTAGCAATGTACCACACTGCCAATTTTAAGCTTAATTACAATTTAGATACTGATGAGTTATGTTATATAATTGACTTCTAGGTACGTGTGTTTAGTAGACGTAGAAACAGATGGACAAAATTGCTCTGGGATTTTTCTTCCGGTCGTAACCAAATGCTCTGATGCTAAGGAACGTTTCTAACAATATTAATTCTAATAGATTTCAGATAAATGTATAGTGTTGTATAAAATGTATAGTTCATAGTGATGACTTTCTCAGCTACTGACTAGAAATATACAGTAAAGAGACATTAACACTGATGTGTGAGTGGGTGTATGGTATTTCAAAATGGTAAAGTCAGCTCTTGTTCTAGGTGGGTAGGTTTTAGGTGGGTAGGTGGGTTGTGTATGTATATGTGTGTGTGTGTGTGTGTCCTTAGAATCCACATTTCCCTGAGTTTGTCCTCTAGAAGTTCCAGATTTGTTCTTTTTCTTTTAACACTGCCCACAATGTTCTTCAAACATAAGCCTCAGTGGTAAGAGCAAAAAATCTTTCAGATAAAAATCTACCAAATCCGAAGAGCAGACAAATATCCAGATCTTCACTATTTGTGTGGTGACGCACACTCTTTGCAGGCTCTAATCTACTCCCCTTGTGATGGTTGGCATTCTGCCACTACTGTGTGGAGCAGGCTTATCGTGTCCATGCGCACGTGTAGAATGTATATGGACTTCCATCCAATGTCATCTCCTTCTATTGCACTGGAATGTTGTTTGACTAACTGAACTGTAATGGTCCTGGATAAGACTTCAGCAGTATTTTCTTGTTGGTTTTAACTGATTTGGTCCACAAGTGTGACACTTGGTTCAGATGAGAAATAATTCATGCCTTTTTCTTCTTAGTTTTCTAATACTGGGTATATTTCTAAAAGACATGCCATAGCAGCTCAGCAAGAAGTTCATGTGCTTGATTGGTGGTTCTCAGCCTTTTTGGACTTGAGGCACCCCTCCATTACTTTTGTGAAATGAGCAGCACCCCATTTAAAAAAATAATGCTTACCACTTTGCAGGGAGGCCAGGCAGGAATGAGTCTGAGTCTATACATATCTGCTTATTTCTCCACATGTGATTTATTTTCTCACATCTCTTGGCACCCTTCAAAAGATCATGTGGTACACCCTGGCTAAAAATCACTGTGTTTGATGAAGTAGTTACTCAGTAAAATTATATGGCCTGCAAGGCTACCTGGTAATGCTCTTTTCTGGCATAAAAACCTATATGTTTGTGAGCATTTTAAAACTCTCAAACCTTAAGTATTGCTTAAGTAATGAATCGCAGGGAACTGGAGGCAATGACAAATTGACAAACCTCCAATGCCCTTGGAATGTGTAGTGGAATGTGCATTTCTTGTTAGTTGGAGACTTGTTTTTGTGAATGAGTCTGACTACGAGCAATTCACTACTCTCTCCACCTGTCTAGTCTCTTTGAGGTATAGGAATGCAGGTGAAGTTTACCCAAGTCAGTCCCTCATAAGGGAGTACCATCTCCCTTCTCACCAGAAGCAAGGTAGTGGTTTCCATTTTCTCACCACCAAAGGCTTTTTCAAGAGATGTAAAATAGTACAGTGCACATATAATTAATCTTTTCAGTAAGCCTTATCCTTTCCCCTCAGCTGTAAAAATAAGCTATAAAATGTTATATTGCACACACATCTCCCCTGCCATTCCTGCCTTCCCCCCAAGAGGAGAGAGAAGACAAACCATGCATGACAGATGTTAATCATGTCATTTGAAGCGCTAGTGGAAGGTTCTCCGCTACCACAATAATAAGAACCTGCATAGAGTCAAATTTCTAATTGTAGTTTATCAAACTAATAGTATGTATTCGGTAGCATAGGCTGCTTTGAATACATTTGTTGTCCAAACCTCAAGTCCCGGTCTGTCTTTGTCAAGGGATGGGATGGGTTAGTCAGAGATGCTCCTACCTTGAGCAGGGAGCTGAACTAGATGACCTTGTGAGGTCCTTTCCAGCCCCACTTTCCTATGACCCTAACTGCTATAATGTAACTCTTTGGATGGTAGAGTTACAAAGGAGCTTTTTTAGCTCACAGTACTTAGTGAGATCAAACGCATCAGGATCCCTTCATTTCCCCCTTCTTTCACTCTTAGTGCCCTTCTTCCTCACCCTCCCCGCCCCTTGTGGGGAAAGGGTGGGAGATTTTTTTTTGCTTTCAATGTCCATTGGACCCAGCTGTTTATTCGAGTTGAACAATTTAACTAAAACAAGTTGCCTGAGGTCACCAGTTTTAGTCATGTTGTGAACAAGACTGGAAGCATATATGAAACAAGCTGATCTCAGTTCAGTATTTAACAGCAGCAGGGTTTCCTGTATATTTCTTTACGATAACTTCCAGATGGTTCTCTTGTTTATCCTGCTGCCCTACTTATTCTGAAGAGTTTTTAAATATTTCCTGTTTTCTGAATATTGTTCATAGTCACTTTTCTCATTTGGGGCTTCTCTGCTTCTTGCTCAGCACACACCTGTCAGTGTAGACTATAGTGTGTTACTAAGATAGCATTGGGGAAATAGCTTAGTTTCTGCCTGCATAACTTAGTCACATGGGTTCAGTTAGTTTGGCATCTATTTTCTGGATTTTTACATAATTTGGCGGAGTTAAGGTTAAACCAAGTATAATAGGAGAAAGGCTGCTTGAACAAATTGCTCCAGTAGAGATGCTACCAATACACATGTTGTGGCCTGCCTCTTTCCTGCTCAATTTTTTTGGCTTTCTACTACTCAAACAGCACTCTTGTAGGAAGATTTTGAAAATTCTGCTTCTCAGTAGTTCTTAGAAAATTTAGCTTTGCAAACAGCAGGAACTCACCCTCAGAATAGCCAGTTCAAACCCAGACATAGTAGGGATTACAGAAATGTGGTGGGATTCATCCCACAACTGGGCAGTTAGCATTAGGGGCTACAGGCTCTACAGGCGGGATAGAGAAGGAAGGAAGGGAGGGGGTGTGGCACTCTGTCAAAGAGCAATACACATCCTCTGCCAGCAAAATGGGGTTGGAGGAGGGGCAAGCTGAAGTGCTCTGGGTCAAGATACACGGGGGTCATGGGGAGAGGGATTTAACGGTGGGGGTCTACTACAGACCTCCCAGCCAAGGGGAGGAGCTGGACTGGGAATTTTCGGGCCAGCTTGCAGAGGCACTTAAGGCAAGGGATGTAGTTGTCATGGGTGATCTAAATTACCTGGACATCTGTTGGGAGGAACAGTCAGCCAGGTCGGACCATTTCAGGAGGTTCCTGGCCGAGATACAGGACCTTCACTTAACCCAGGAGGTGCACAGTCCCACCAGAGGAAATGCCCTGTTGGACCTGGTCCTGGCCACAGGCGATGATCTGGTAAGGGGGCTCCAGGTTCTTGACCACCTGGGTGACAGTGATCATCACTTGCTGGAATTCATCATCCAGTGCAGGGTGACAAGGGCGTGCAGCAAGGCAGTAGCCGTAGACTTCAAGAGGGCCAGCTTCAATGAGTTGAGGAGATTGGTGAGAGAGGCGCTGGGGTTCTCGAGGGCAGGGGAGCTCAGTGCCCAAGATGAGTGGTCGTTCCT